ATAAATGTCCGTCACAACTCTAATGCTATATTTATCCAACATCTCAGCAGATGGCAGCACTTGACTGCCCTTATCTGGGCTTGTCAACTGAACTGGGATTTAACACCACAATGGAAGATTAGGAAGGAACTTTAGAGCTCTAGGCTAGACTGAGAAGTTGGAAGAACATCCCAGAAGAAGGAAGCTGTGGCAGATCGTTTCTGTATTGTTGCCAAGAAAACTACATAAGCCTATCCATGAAGTCACCAGGATATGAGCTTGACTGGAAGGAAATTCAGAAACACCATTATTTATGCAAAAGGAAGACGACCCTGAATTCCTCCAAAAACAATTTTAAAAAGCAGAAAATTTTTAAGCAAACTGAAATTTTCTGCATTACCAACTCACTGTCTCCACTTAAGTTGCCAAATTCAGCAGAAACCAGTCTTGGAAAGGTTTTCACCAAATGCACGAGTATGGCACATTTGTATACATTTATGCATATATGTGTTCATTTGTGTATACACACTGGCCGAGCAACATTCCATAAAAGGGCTTGGCCAAGCCAAAACATTAATTTATTAACTGAAAAACTAATTAAAATTAATAGTCTGTAAAATAAGGCATCAATCTGTAAAATTAATTCCCTGACTGCATTCACACACAGAAACCATTCTCTCTCTCTCTCTCTCTCTCTCTCTCTCTCTCACACACACACACACACACACACACACACACAATCACTCCCTACCTTCTTCCAGCAGAAACAGGGGAAAAAGGAAAAGAAAAACCAGAATGAAGATGGGATATGAGAAGACAAAAGAGGAAAGAGAGACTGCTGCAAACTCAGCAAGAGTTTGTATTAAGGCACAGAAACATAAACCTATGCACACTTATTCTGTAGTTAGCTGAACTGAGTCCAGTGACTCTAAATCGCAGGTAAATATGTTCAGGAATTCTAATCCTGTTCAGCTGTTATGAGATCTGGCAACAATCTATTTGCATTCAAAGGGGAGTAGGAATAAGCATGCTATATCTGACCGTCTCTAGCTGTCTTTCATTTGTAGAGATTTAGTGCCTGTGCTAGAGAGCCTCCTCTGTCTGCAGAAGTACTCCAAGTAACTGAACATCCTGATTTTTAAGCATCCTCACCATTGCCTGGAATTCTCAGTCATGCAACAACGGTTGCTCCTCTTCCTCTCCTGCCTCCTTGCAGGCATTTACTTTTATTATTTATAGGAAAGAGACCCCTCTTCTTTCAACCTCCACACTTTCAACAACATCTGCTTCTATGATCATATTCTCTATTCTCTTCTCTAGAAGATCCCATCTCAGTTCATAGTAATTATTTTGGGAAAAATAACTTCCTTTTGGGTAATTAGCATATTAGGCAAGTTTAATATTTTTCAGATCATCATCCTTAGCAAGTATGTGAGAAATATATATTTGTCACTAATCAAAACAAAAAAAATCCTAGGCAAATTTGAAATTTTCCCAGGCTGTCACCCTAACCTGCACAAAACCCAGTTCAAATATTTTTAGAAACTCCAAATTACCAACACCATTATGACAAGTGAAAAATTACTTTGATTTGTCATTTTTTGAACATATTTGTGGAATTTCTAGATTTGACTTCATATACATAATATGAATTTTGTGTTAGCTAAAGAACACTGCAGTGCAACAAATAACTCTGTAACAGTACCGTCAAAGGTTGCTCAATACACCTGATTCTTCTAGGAAATCAAATCCAGAATTAACATTCCAATTATTCAAAATAAGAATAAAATTTTAGAACACTACTATAGTATGAAACAGTTTTTGACTCACCTATCATTATGTCATGTGAAGAATCTAAAATTGATCCAAACAATAGTCAGCTGAACCCCAATTGAACAAAAGTAAATAATTTTATTTTTACAGTGAGAGAAGCAAGCTAGAATAGGCAATGAGTCTTGAAAATGCTATAGGTCTCATACTATGTCAAATTAATTCTATTTATCAAAAAGCTATGAAAAATGTGCAAATAACATCCAACTAGAAAACTCACTCTCATATATAGCATTTATTATAATAGTGAAGTAGCCTTCAATCAAATTTTGATACTACATGATTGTAACCTTTATCTGGAAAACTTTGAGAGGCAAAATCTGGTTTCTTTTAAAGACACCAGAGAACCACATATAATACTACTTTTTAAGAAAACCAAATGATAGAAAGTATACAGATGAATGCATTATAATATTGCAGCATCTATTACAAATGGATATATAAATAAAACAAATATAAGCTATACCACTTGAAAATAATGTATCATTTTCTTAAATTCAGTTACATTCAAAAGGACAGTCTAATAAATAATGGGCAAAGGACACAACACAACCATGTAACTATCAATATCAACTTCACTGTACACAGGCTACCAAAAGATAGAACAGAATTAGAGTAGTGCTGAAAAATGCTGAGGCCCGACTATGAAAATCCCAATGAAGGAGTGTTTCTACATGCAGAGGATTTACAAATGTTGCCAGGAATTCTTTGAAATCTGATGACTTGCAATAAGGTTACAAAGAAAATAAAAGGAGATGAGGGTAATTTTATACCTGCAGCAGCCTATTCATTTTCTTATTAGAAACTAAACTCTCTTCTTTGTACTTCAGCTTTTGGCAACATGAAAGTTGTTGATAATAATCCTCAATAATCCTTCATCAACTTGCACTATTGATAAATAATCAAACAATGTGAGACTGAATCTTCAGCAATTCAAAATGATTTTATGTAATAATTTCTATCCCAAGCTTTTAATGCATATGTCTCAATCAGCAAAACTATGCATAATAAACATTTGTTCTGATTTTACTATAATCTAAAAGTCACTGACATGCTTATAAGTGTTCACATTGTCTCTACAAACTTAAAAACTTCAGAAGCAAATGTAACTGCACTTTCTAGAACACACCAAATTGCAATAATAAATGTTACTGATATTAAATTATTAAGAAGGGAAATAAGAAAACTGCATATTAATAACACACAATTTAAAGAATGCTATAAAGTCCTATTTGATAGTTAAAAGCAACTTAAATAAGACGGTCAATATAAATTATATGTTGAATTAATTCTAACTCTGTATGGAAATGCTTCCCGAGCAATTTGCCAATCAAAAATGTCATATTGGCACTTGTAGCCTATAAACTTCCAACTCTACTTCATTCACGGAGCCATCAATTTACTCATAATTCTTCTCATATTATCAGCTTATCAAGGAAAGTAAAAAAAAAAAATTAAATTGTCAAACTAAATGTAAAATCAGGCCTATAGTTTGGTATTGTGTGGCAGCTTTTCTAGTGACAAAAACAGCTGCTTGTGAAGAAGTGATCTTCATCAAGATATGGAGCGGAAGAAAATGTTAAAATCATTTTCATGGCAGTTCCAAACCAATCTCCCATGGCTGCAATTTAAAGTAAAACAAAAAACCATTAATAACACACCAAATCATATGTGTACCATGATGGAGAGTCTGGTCCAATGCCTCCTATTTCTGCCAAAGTAACTAACCAAATTTTGTCTGAGGAAAAAAAAATCAATATAAAATCATATAAATAGTACTCTTCATATTCATAGAAAATAAAGTGTATAATATCCATGCCTCTAAGCTATACCACATCATGTGTGTGCTTTGGACAGAATAGGGATATAGAGGATGAACAAGTATAGAATATATTATTTATAGGTTTATTTTACAGATAGAGATAGATAGATAGATAGATAGATAGATAGATAGATAGATAGATAGATAGACCGACCGATACAATACATAATTACAGGACATACTTCAATGTTATTATAAAATAAATTCTGGCAAAGAATAGCATATTAAATAAAGCATGTTAGACATAAAAAGCTACTGATTCTCAATACTTAACTTTTGCACACTGGTAAACACCTTTCTATACCAAAGGTTGTTTTTTATTTTTTTAATCTTGAGAATCATGCATAGGATCAACCTGGAAACTGCTAAGTTGGTCCTAAAAACAACAGTCTTGGCCTAACACTCAACTTTCACTTCTAGTCCATTTATAGAGAAGGCTATGAAGCACACCACTTCTTACTATATTTCAAATTAATTATGAAAAAATCTGTTACATAACAGAAAAATGTTTATGAACTAAAATTAAATTATTAAGTTCACTGTGAGTCTCAACTAAAATATTTGAACTGTATAAAAATTATTCCATTAATTTTTCAATAAATTGAGATTAAAGATTACCCAAACATGCACGTAAGCAATATTAAAACTATAAAATAACCAGAACAACAAAACAAATCTTAGGATGACTTGGGAAACCACTGGAAAATGGTTAAACATCAAACATACAGGCAAGTCTGAAAAATTAAGAGTATCAAGTCACTGAAAAGTGATTTTAGCAACTACAGTTTAGTCTGCCTTTCCTTGAACTTTTTTTTTAAACGTACTTTAAACGGAGCAGACAAATCAAGAAGCACGGGGACAGTCCATTCAGTTAAGGATCATCGTATGGAAGAGCGACCAGTATTTGTTCAAAAATGTTATCTCCGCGTTAGCAGGGCAAGAACATTCATAATCAACTTTTCCCCCTACTCAAAAATGCAAGGCAAGCAAAAATCACCGGTAGAGATGTTGGGCCACTGAAGTACAAAACACGCGGGGAAAATATAAAGAGCGCTCGTCGGGTCATAGTATTAGTCGACTCAAGCGAAGCCCAGCACTTCACCCCTTAGGGACCTATTAATTGGGAGGCACAGGGGTGCTGCTTCTGGATAAGCTGTAGGCGCGTGCTGTGTTACAGAAAGCGTATCAGCACCCTAAAGAAGGAAGAGCGAGCAGCGCTAATGCCGCTTCTGCTCTTCGTGGAGAACGCGGCGCCTGCACTTTCCGCCGCCACCTGCGGAGAAGATTGCGACAAGGAACAGCCCGCCCAGCCTCCGACCGCTCCAAGGGCTTCTTCCTGCCATCGCCCCTGCGGCCGCCCTTTACTTACTTCTTGGCGTCGCTGCTGAAGAGCCCGAAGGCCGTGGAGGCGGTGGTGGGCGCCGCCTCTTGGCCCACCTCAGGCTGAGCATCCCCGGCCTGCTCGTTGTAACCGACGTTGTTGGTCGACATCATCTCACGGTACCGTTACCGCCGCTACGGGCAGAGGCGCCCACCTGAACCCGGCTAGCCCGCCCTCCCGCCGTTCCCTCACAATCCGGCTCTTCCCGGAAGCTGTCGGCAAACATCACCCAAAGCCGTGTCACATGATCGCCAAGAGGGGCGGGGACTAGCTGCCCAACAGACTTTTTCTGGAGAATCGCCCGGCGCCATCGTTGCCAAGGGAACGCAAAGCTTCTCCCGGCCTCGTTCCCTCCAGGAAGCCACGCCCCCCGTCACGAGGAAATCTCCCTCCGTGGAGCGTCCCTGGTCACAAGATACTTGCTCGCTGGCAGATGCTCTCTTGCCACGTACGCAAGAGCAAGCTGTGCTAGTCTCTGAGGGTGCTATGCATATATGAATATCCGTCCTTCCGATTCCGATCTTCACCATTCAGTCACCCTTAGCAGGACCTAATCGGCGCTCCTACGTAGAGCGCTGCCGTGCTGCTATTTGTTCTTTCCTACCTTAACAAATGGGGAAGGGAATGAAAAGAAAGATTGCGAATAAAAACTAAATGATATCAACCCTCTGCCCCCCGTTAAATTGTAGTACGGTTATATTAAAAAAAAATCTTGCCTGGGGAGAAAAGCTTAATGAGCTTGTGACAGTTAAGCAATGCGTGCATGGTGCTGCGAAACAAACTGACCAATCACATTTCAGCCTTGTGTGTTGTGCCAACTCAGCCCATGTGGTTAGTTTACAGTTCATTATGTTGTGCCAGTGCAGACAATTGGTTCATTTGGTAACTATGCTCATAAGTAAGTGTTCTGCAAATGCAAGATTAGCAATGGAGGAGCAAAATTAGTCTCAACACTTTGATAATAGCCACCTAAGAATCTTTGAATAACTCAGATATTAAATTCCTGACCTCCAAACAAAAATATGTAACCTGTCATTTAAATAAGGCTCAGGGCCAGAGATGGGAAGACAACCAAAGTGACACCATTTTTAAAGAGAGACTTAGGGAAGGTCTGGGAAAGTATAGCTTGCTCAAAGCAAATTGGTTGAAATGCAAATCAAAGAAAAATACTCATAGAGAAACAAGTTTTGATTAAAAATACCAGCATAGATTCTGCAAAGATAAATCTTCACTGATCTTCTCCAGTTTTTTTATAGCATCAGTAAGCATATAAACAGACATGACCTGATTTTTTAAAAAGTCTTTGTTAAAGTTCCTCATCAAAGATCCTTGAGTAAACTTACTGATCATTGGGTAAGAGCACCTGGCCTTTTGTGGATCCCCAATTAGTTCAAAAACAGATTGTGAAAAAGGAATAAAGGAATTTCTCAATGGAGAGAAATATGAAATGAAATTCCTAAAGGGCCTGCACTGGGACAATGTATTTTAACTTGTTCATAAATTATCTTGACTTAGGGATCAGAAGAGACTGGCCAACTTTGCAGATGCTATCAAACTATTCAGGGTAGTAAAAGTCAAAAGTGATTATAAAGAACTTCAGAAGGTCTTCTTTAAACTGGAGGAATGGTCAACCAAAGCTCAAATGATGTACAAAGGCAGTTCAGTTTAAGTGTATAAAAGTGATGCATGCAGGATCATAAAAACTTTGCTGTACACTGATGGGATCTAAGCTATCTGTAATTAAGTAGCAAAAAGAAGATGCAGACTCAATGTGTTGCAACTGTCAAAAAAGCAAATTCTGTGCTAGGGATAATTAGGAACCATGTCCTTATAATCTGTGGCAAGTCCACATCTGGAATAGTATACTATTTTGGTCACCATTTGAAAAAAGGATGCAATAGAGCTGGAAAAAATGCAAAAGAATAAGACTAAAATTATCAGGGGGCTCAAACATATTTCTATGAGAAAAGACTAGAATGTTTGGAATTCTTTAGTTCAAAAAAATGGTGGCTGAGGGACAACATGATTGAGTTGTATAGAATGATATATAGCATGAAAAAAGTGTTCAGAAAAAAAGTTGTTGTTTTTTTAGTCTCTCAGAAATCTAGGATCAGGAATCATGTAATGAAGTTGATTGGAAGGAGATTTAGCACAGACAAAGCATTTTTTCACACAGAACAGCTTTAACTTATACATTCGTTTCTGATAGACATGTGATAGCCACTTACTTGGATAGTTGTAAAAAAGGAATGGGTGCCCTCAGGAGTTTGCTGTTTTCACTGTACTGCCCCCCCCCCCAATATACATCACTGAAAGGGGACTGGATAAATTCATGGAGGACAGATCTATCAAAGCCTATTAGTCATGGAGACGGCATGGTATACAAGCAGCTTTGTTGGCTATTCCAAGGAAGAAAATGCTGGACTAAAATAAGCCTTGGCCTAATCAAACATGGTTCTTAGACTCTTACAGCCCAGACACATACAGTCCATACTATTACAGCAGTCTGTGCACATAGGAACATGTCATAACTAGAAAAGAAACTTTAACAGCTTAATCCAGCAAGAGACTGTTGAATTCACATACATCAAAAGGTTTCAGACTGAGGTCTCAACAAATACAATGGATTTTTAATGAATTACAATTGTCAATTGATAAGATACTTGTAATCTGCCTCACATATAATCTGCATAACCACCCTGTCTTTCCCTCCCTTTCCTCCCCCTGCCTCATCTCAATTCAAATCCTATAGTTTAGCCACTCCATGCATCCGATGAAGTGTGTTGTAGCTCACAGAAGGTTATGCCTTTTAATAAAATTTGTTAGTTTAAAAAGGTGCTACCAGGCTCCTTCTGAATTTTGGATACCATAACTGAATGGTTCCCATTTCTCATTCATTTTATGACTGAATTAAAACATTGTGCTAAACAAGCTTGTTTAATCTTTGTTAACAAATTAGCTGGGTTCACATAACAAGTTGAATTGTTAACCATAGTTTACAAATCACAAAGGATAAATTTATACAGTATTCTTGGCCAAAACCAAACAAACTACATTACAGCTTAGCATTTTGTGTGAACCAAGTCTATGCAAACCCAAAATGTATGATTCAATAGCAGAGTAGTAAAGGCAAAATCCCTAGCTGTTCTAAGTCAGCCTCCTATGACATGCAAATCACTTCTCTAGCAGGCATCAAGGTACTCTGAGTGACATGGAGGGGTGAGTGAGTTGTTAAAATGCAGTGCAAGGCCCAAGGAAGTTTGTAATATAGCAACAAACCTAGGATAGGCTGTGCATCTTGGAGATTTCCCATTGAAAAGTAAGGTAGTGAAAACACCATGTTCTGTTTAGTTCCTCCAAGCCAATAGCAAGAAAACGAGGGATTTCAGACAGGCAATTCCTTCCCAGTTATCTGCCTGGCCCTGTTTCTGTACTATTCTTTTCCCTTCACATTGTCCAGAGCTGACCTTGTCAGAGTGTGCATACTAAAGTAAAAGTAATGAGATATTTCCTTTTCTCTAGGAGCAGATCACTATTTAGGGCACATAGGCAGAACCCAACTCTTGTCACCATCTGTCCATGGCAAGCTAAGCCTCAATCTGTCCCATTAGGTCCAACAGAAGGAGCATGCTCTGGATCTTCTCTATCTGAGAGTGCACCTGGCAGGATCCAGGAAGTGGGCCTTTTCCATCCACAGCACCTAACCTTTGGAATACCATATCCCCCAAGATTAGATTGGCCATGACCCTGCTGGCTTTTTGGAAAGCTTTAAAAACCCACATGTTTTCCTGAGCATGGGGTCAGGAGGTTAGCTGAGCTCATGAGGTGTTAATTTATTGTTGATCGGTGTTGTCCTCAGTTGCTATTATGTGCTTTTTATATTGTTGTTTATTTTGTATTTTTGTAGTCTATGCTAGCCACCCAGAGTCACTATTGCAAGATGGGCAGCCATATAAATTGAATTAATAAAGTAAATACATCTCCCAAAAATAATTCATTCTGCTGTGATGTTGCAAGATACCTACAGACTCTTTAGAAGGCTTTCACTGTGTGGCCCCTACCTCAACGATAAGAGGACACTATTTTCATTTCATTTCATGTTGCATTTTTCCCAGGGACGTGAAAATGGCAGTCAGATGAAGACTCCAGGCAGTTTGGCCAGAGCAACCAATTGAGTGAATGCTTAATATGGACAATTCATTCCCCCATGTGGAATTTTCCATGAGGAAATGGCTGTGAAAAAGGCTATTGCAGTCAATCATATCTCCTTTTATTTTTCAAAGACTTGGTGTACATGTACAGCAAAAAGAAACATCTTCCAGAAGAATGACAATGGGTATCTTTTTAGCCACAAGCAGCAGCTATCGTGCTTTTTAATAAAATTGTTTAAATAATTATGGAGAGCAGCTTCAGCAGAGAGTGGGTCTGATTCATTAATAACTGCTCAAATCTGAATGCATAGTTAGTGTGTGTCAGGAGGATAAGACTTCCCCTTTCCAAGAACCTGGCTTAAGATCAGTTTTTCTGCAACCATTAGCAGTCAGAACCCAGCAAGTTAAAATAGGATCACTGAAAGGAAGAGATATAAGGCGTTTGGGGTTTTTGTTTTCTTGCTGCTAGATACCTAGAATTGGGGTAAGGATAAAGCCTTCCCCTTTCTCAGTGATCACCTTGTACATGCATGATTGTGAATTTTATCATCCCAAACCAGTCCTCAACAGAGAGCGAAAACAACCCACTTTTTCTCTGGGATAAGCTCAGTACCCTTTTTTGGAGCTCACTGAAAAATAAGGTGGTGGTTGTATGGTAGGATAAGCTGCCATGATTGGGACTATGCTGTAGTTCTCTCACGATTAGTATTTCTCTGTTTGCAACTGCACATCACATAGATATCAAGAAGGCTCTTAGATAAATGCGTCTGGTAGATTTGTCAGGCACAGAGTGGCTGTGTTTGTGCTGTGTGCTTCTTTATGGCCTGGAGGTGCTGTACATGTATCAAGAAGCAGGGCAACTGAAGCCACCAGAGTAAAGCTGGCAGCGCAGTTGGAGAGAGGATTCCTGGATGAAGGAGGAATGTGTAACTGAGGATCCAGCAGGAGCAAGCAGAATCAGAAAGGGAAATCTGCAGAGTGGACTGGCTGGTGAAAAGACTGGAGCTACCTTGAATAAGACAGATCAGGAGTAACAGTTTAAAGAAGCGAGGCCAA